TTCCCTACAACAGCTTGAGTAACTCTTCTTTTCAACCCCTCCTGAGAAGCAAGTGCAGAGAAAACACAGCAGCAACCGGTTGCCTGCTGCATCCCATGCACCAGGGCTGCTTCGCCAGCATGCTTTATAGCACCAATAGTCACAAACACCATTCACCTGGCAACTTAGAGGAGTTCCTGCCACATGCACTGGTGTAGAAACACCAAACTGGTACAGTTTTGCATGAGCAGCTGGGTAGGAGCCTACAGGCCACAGTAAATGGAATGGGAGAAGCACTAAAGCCTGCTGAGCTTTGGCAGTTCCTCCTCAAACTGCTGCCCATGGTGGCATAAAACAAATTATCTTGTGCATGCAACCAACAGCTAAGGGGAGAGACTGCCCTGAACGCCCACAGCAAACTCTCAAACACCTATGGTTCACCAGCTACCACAAAGCAGCTCCAGCTTTTTTACTTCATAGGGTTCGCAGGAGGGAAGGAAAACACAGCTCTGTTTTTGTCCATACAAGGTTTCTTAGCTCAAAGAATTATCTGAAGCAAAACCTAACCCTCTATCACATTCAGGCTAACGTCTGTAGAAAAGGACAATTAAGTTCAACTTTTTTCTTTATTTAAACCATGCAGTCCTTCAGCTCAATTTCAATACACATAAATGCTGTAAATGTCTCTGAAAGTCTGCTCAAGTTAGCTCTGTAACAAACAGCACACAAGTGCTACATTAACTTAAATACCCACTTACAGCAAAGAAAAGAATTCTTGATCCTCTGGCATTTGTCTACAAGGAGTAGTAATTCTTCATTCAAACACAGAACTAACGTCCTACCAAAGCCAAGCAGTAGCTAGTTAGCTCCTTCCTTCCCACACATGAAGTATAAAGTGGCTCTGCTTACTCACAGGATCAGTGGCAGGACACGCACTCTTCCCTGCCTGCCCACGGCACCAACCAGAAACACAGCCAGCCTCACTGCATCCCAGAGGTCTTACACAAAGGGGTTACAGATGTCGTACGTGAAATAACTTGAGTGAGGCATTAGCAGGCAAGTGTCTGCACCAAAAATAAATATAGCACCAGCCTGTTCCATTCTGAATGGCTCAGCAGCAGTGAGACTGACATGAGCCAAAGATCAAACCTCTACCTCTCCATAAAGGTTCTTACAGATTGGGGTTTCTATATCATTAGCTAGAAATCTGTCTCTGTAAAGCAAATCAAGTTCTTGTGAAATCTCTTCGTAAAAGAATAAACCTGGAGGAGTACACCACAGAAGCATTGCTCTGCACATGTCTCGTTCTTGCACTCTTTTCAAAGCACTTGCAAACAGCCAGTGCTTGTAACAGGACACTGGGCTAAATAAATCCTCGGTCTGACTGAATATGGTCATTCTTATTCAGAAGGCAGTAATGTTAACACTGACCTGTTTGAGCTGCTCGTCCAACCGCCAGTTCTGGCGTCCAGACGGGGAACCAGAATACGGTTGCTTAGTAGTGTCTTTACCCTGTTCTTCTTTGCCCTGCTGTCCCCGCTGGTGGCCCGAAGCTGGAAGAGGATTAGAGGCAGAGGCCACTCTTTGGTTGTGATGGGCAACTTTGGGAGCATGAAAATATTTCAGAGCAGAGCAGGTTTCTTTTCCAGTCACATCAGCGCCATCCTCAAGATCTCCACCTTCCAAACCCCCTTCTTCCTCATCCTCCTCATCTTCTTCCTCCTCTTCTTCCTCCTCCTCTTCCTCTTCTGGCTCCGAATTCATGCTGCTCTGATCAAAAGCCCGCGTAGCTCCGGCTGCAGATGGGCCTCTGGCCAAGGGACCAACAGCAGAGCCGCCTGAAGCCCTGCCAGATGCAGCAGCTAGGACAGCTTGCTGCACAGCCAGCTGTTGAGTGTAGAGCAGCTGGGCTTCTCTCATCTGCCTCTGCTGTCTCTCCCTGGAATCCATCTGCAGAGGTGTTTGCTGCTTCTGCTGCTGCTTCTGCAGCTGCTCAACCACGGCTTCCAGCTTCATCCTGCAGTTTGCATGGCTGGGAAAAGAGGGGGGCGTTTTTGACTTTATCTGGCAGGGTTCAAGCCCCGACCTTGGGAGACTGGCAGAATCTGAAAGATAGACAAATATTTGTCTGTATGAATATAAAATGCTTTCATCTTTTCCCCAGGAAGAGGATAAATAGAGTGCAAAGCCAATACTCTTTCCTGTGCAGGAGACCGTGAAACAATCAGCTTCATGTTTAACAGCCTCAGGCTCGAACTTGCATTCAATTTTCAGACTGTTTAATTGTATTTTCAAGCTGAACACATTTGCTATAACCTCAGTTTCATATACCCCAAAGACAGCATCTGAAATGCCTTTGTCCACTGTCCCAGCAGTTCATTTTTTTTGTCAGAATCCTTCCACACTTCCTAAATAATTACTCTTGAAATGTTAGGTTTAGCATCTAGGGTTTGGTTCTTCTAAAAACACTACCTTAAAAGGAGATAGACAGGATGATAAGCTTGACCATATTTCTATTAAAAAATGAGCAGGAATTTATCGCACGCCAGTTATCTCTAAATTTTTTATGCTTTCACTACATTACTAAATTCTTTACTCCTCATATGTCTTTCTTAACCCCTCCCCCTATATTTAGCCATTATTTTTCCCCAGGAGAGCAAAATAAGAGTAAAGCAAAGACCACTGCAGCCTGAAACAGACTGCTGAGCACCAAGCAACTCCTGCCTCTGGCTCCCAGACTTGCCAGTGCATCTCAAGCCCTGGCCATGGCCTCCCTTCAGTTTTCCCAGCCAAAGGACACAAGAGCTTTCCTAGCTCTCCATTTTGACCTGCAGCAAGCCCATGCTGAGCCAGCACTAGCCTCCTCTTGAGCAAAGACCAATAGAAGAGACCGCAGTCGGAAACACAGCTCTGATCTAGAGTAAATCCTAGAAAGACGACTATGCCTTTAATCCCCAACCATTAAAATCAGCACGTGTATTTTGGACTTTGTGTCACAAACTGGACCTGCTGACAAAGACTGTCCTTTTTTTTTATGTAAAAAGATGCTTAAACAGATCCCACTTGCTGCCCTTCAAGGTTCATCGATATCAAAATACAGTCAGCTTGGAGAAACAAAGGAAAGGCCAACTACAAACAAGCTACGGAGTCTCCCAGCCACCTCCCACCACCTGGTTTACAACCAGCACTGTGCTATTCAAGCCACATACTTGAAAAAAGAGGCTATTTTACTAACACACATTTTCAAATCAGACACAGTTCTGTTCTAAAACAACAAATAACCTACCCGATACCAGTTTTAAAAGGGAAAGACAACTTCCAGCATCCTAGCGCAACTCCAAGTCTTCCTCTAAGGTGGTCAGACTGAGTCTCTCATACAAAGTGCCCGTAAGCTACAATGCCCAACTCATTTTTCCTCTGCAAACTCTTGCCCGTGCTAAATAACAGCCCATCACCAAAATGAAAAGCCTGGCCAGTGCATTTGCTTTTTTATCTAGCAGGCAGCAGCATAGCTTTAGCTTGCAAATGAAACAATATAAAGTGGATTAGAGGTTTGAATGTCAGGAGCAATAATGCATTACCTGGCAGCTGAAAAGAGTCTTAGACTCATTGGGAAGGCACAATACACCATCTGGCCTAACTTCGCACACACACACTCCTCCAGTAAAGCAACAATGAACTGGTGTGGGTGTTGCAACAGCAACCATAAACCAGGCTAGAGAACTGCCAGCCCACACCTTGCTGTATATTGTTGCACCTGAGGCACGGTGAGGCATCACCTCTCCTGCCTGGGGGATATTCAGCAGGGCATGCAATTAATACACGCCTCAGGTACCTTAACGATAATAAATGACCCAATACTCAGTTAACATGCCGAGCAAACACACCTCAGGTGCAGCAACACCCTGGTATGCGGCGCCCACGTATTTCCTGGAGTTCAGGTACAATAGCATGTGACAGGTTACAGCAGGATTTATGCGCAGCTGCTGAGGGTTTTTGTCAGAGCCCAGCACAAACCTCACCAGCCTCCAAAAAGATGAATTTTGGGTACAGCAAACACGCCCTCAGCAAGTATTGATGTTATTGTAGAGAGACAGCCAACTTTACAGTGAGTTTTAAGTCGACGAGGAGATGCATTGCCCACAGCAAATAATCAAGTCACAGGATAGAGTTTAAGATAACAACTGCAGCTAGACTAACAACATTTAACCATTCTAGCTTTTAACATCCATTTTACCCCTCAGCATGGATATTTGCTTACTTTTTGTGCCTCTCCCAATCAAGGCAGTGAAAGGATGCAGTTTAACCTTCAGGTCCTCACGCACCAGCCTTTATACTGCTTTTAATCCCTGGGAGAGCAGTTTAATTAAAAAGCCCCCTGATCTGAATTTTTAACTAGCTCTGTTTGCAGCATAACTAGGAAAGCGCCTGCCTTCGCGCCAACCGCGCTTGGGAAGAGGTTTTCCAAGTGGAAACCACCTGAAAGAGTTAAAGCGTGAGATGAGCCAGCCTGCCTCCCAGCCCCGAGGAAGGGAGAGGTCTCCCAGGGTGGTAAACAAGTCCATCAGCCCCCCCGCCGCCCGGTTTTAACGGAACCCTCCTGTGCCCCAGAACCGCCGTTAAACCACCGACCCACGCACCCACGCCCAGGGGAGCTACCCAGGGAAGGGCGGCTGTCCCGGGCGGGCGG